TTGACGAAAATGAAGATGATTTTGACGATGGAGCATGCACATTTAATAACGCCTATTTACTCTCGCCTTGGAAACGCCCAAGTTATAGAGTTCAGGGAATAAGTTTGCAGGCAAGGCCATATGTATATATAATTACACACATGGCCAATACCACTCCATATCCATTCGCAATACAAATGTGGACGCGTAAGGCTTCGTGCGAATCGTATGTTATTCGCATAAAAGCTCTTATCTTTTCTCAGCATATTTTTTTTTATGATATCAAGTAACGGGACGAACAAGTCGTGCACCTGGTGATAAACGACTCGCCGGTCTATATCAGTTGCAGTGTCACTCAGAGCTTTAAATGCCAAAAATCTGAGGGGCACTGCTACCGCGCCATAACCCTGAGACGTAAGTTGACAAGTCCCATGTGCCTGTAATTTCACCAGCACCCTTACCCTTTAAAACCAGGACACAGCAAAGCTCACATTATAAGGTGGCAGCACTTTACTGGTCGAACTTACAAGGAGCTCTACTGCTACTAAATAGCTGTTTGTCAGTCTCCGCAAGTGTTCATATTAAACACGAAAGAAAAATAATAATAGTTATTTCGATTACCACTACCACACATTTGAATAACTGTTAGATTATTTCGAAATTATGGTGAAAAGATTTTCTAAAAATGTAAGTCGCTTGAATAGTAGAACTACAATACCGACTTTCAACTGTCGAAGATTAAATTAGTACAGTTATTTATTTTAAATTACAACAGCCAATAAAAAAGTGTGTATCGGTCAGACATTTTAAATTACAATTTTGATGTCTCCGCAATCCTATTTCATGGCGCGTTAGAGCAAATCTGTAACAAGGCTTTAATTGTGTTGCAAGATTAAATTATTTACTGTATTTAAACGTAAAAAACGGAATGAGGTCTACGATCAGAGGATAAACTTGGTTTATATAAGATCTTTGGGTTAAAGACCGCAATGTAGAGATGTTTTTAAATAACCCAAAACTTTAGAATCGAGGAACAAGTTTTAACGCATTCAGAAATTCGCAAATAAAAATTTGCGAATCTTTTAAACATCTATATTAGCTGCTACGTGTGACAGTTGAAATAAATTCTGTAAATTTCCAAGTGATATACCAATTATATGTTATTGCGACGGTGTGAGAAAATTAAAGATTATTTAAAAATAAACAAATCTGTATACGTTTGTATATAACACAAATACTTTTAAATAAAAAAGTACGAATAAGATGTGTTTTTTTTTTATTATATCAAGTGGTAAGCGACATTCCTATCTATAGCAGTTGCAGTGCCACTCAGAGCTTTAAATCGCAACGATCTGAGATAAGATGAATGATTTTTTAAATTAGTAGTTCTATTGTGACTATTCTATGTAGGTACGTCTTTCTTATAATATCATACGTAATCATACAAACACGTTCTAGCAACTCATAAAAGCATACAAAGCGTCATTTACTTATTAATCTACGTAACACGTTGCATTCCAAAGTTAAAATCTAAACATGTCTAAGGAATTTCTAGCACTTTCTTCAAACGGCGTCGTTATTCCATCTGGCTCAAGCTAATAGTTGTATAATGTGTACCAATATGTGAGATAAACTTATTGACGAGTTCGCCGAGTTTCTGAGAAGGTAAACAAGGATATCCCGAGCTTTTTATATAACACTATGTCATCATGTACGCACGTGTTATGCTTTCTTTTCAGGGATCTGTTGATATTTAATTGGTATAATAAAAGCAACAAATTATGTATATGTGAAATCTCCCTATTTAAGCATAAAAAAGTTATCATAAAATCTTTAAGCTTCTCTCTTAAAAAGTTGTCATTTTGCAGATGTCGCTTCTTTACACCAAAAGCAGAGAACAATAAAGTAACGAGAATGGACACTCTCCGCCCCTCTCTGGCTTTAGATACCACACCATGCACCACCCGCACATTAAAGGTCACGTTGACTGAATGGCAACAAGGCTGTCGCGTTAAGAGGGCTTTGATATTTGAAAATAGTTTTCATTTATTCATTACGAAACTTGTACGTTAATTATCAAACATCATTGTACCTATTTATAATGGTCGTGAATTGTGCTGACCACGTACCGTAATAGTACAACAAAGTGGTGGGTAACCCTGCCACTTCACGCACACATTAGCGCGTGTGTAGATAGATTGCTGTATGTAGTAGTAGTAGTAGGTAAATAACTTTCGACTGTCGTATGGAGTGTCTGGGGTTGCGAATTGCGAATAATTCTTTTTTTTTTATAAGTAAATAAGTGCGCATTTGACCTCCATCTCACCTGATGAAAAGCGACAATGAGGTCGACGATGTACCATGCACACTTAAATAGTGCCTATTCACTCTCGCCTTGAAAAGGCCCAAGTTACATCGTTCGGGGAAGAAGTCTGCAGGCAGGGAATTCCATTCCTTTGCCGTCCACCATATAAATAAGGAAGCGAAATGTTTCGTGCGAATCTTTGGAATTCCGAATGAATTCCATTAAAATATTCTTTGGAAGTCTATATGTACTCCCACGATGATGGATGGGAGGGGAAGACGGAATTAAATGCGACAAAAATGGAATTGCATTTCCATCTCACACTCTCCGTGATATATCCTGTAGAATACCGATAAGCAGGCAACTTTACGACGGTGTACAAGGCTACGCAGCTTCGCCTCTACTAAATCCGTGTCACCTACAAGCCTCTTGGCTTGTCTATTGAATCCAAAGTGGCCAGTTGGTATGTAGCAGAGCCATCCCATAGGTAGTATCTCCATACATGACCGAACTTGTGCTTGGTACAGTTGAAGCAAATGTCCTGGTGTGAAGTAACGCCCCACCCTAGAGAGGATGCCAAGCTTCAACGCTGCATTTTTGGCCATGGATTCAATGTCACTGCCTAAGTTTAAATTGGACGACAGGTCCAGTCCAAGTAGGTAATAGGTAAATTAATACAAAGTCATGACAAGCCGATCAGATTCCCAAAATCTTGTTAAAGTGTTCGTCCAGGGAAGTACTGCCACCTTACATATTTCTGCCACCAGGCAGTAATCTCAGCATTACTGTGTTCCGGTTTTGAAGGGTAAGGGTGCTGGTGAAATTACAGGCACATGGGACTTGGCAACTTATGTCTCAGAGTGACACTGTGATAATTATGGACAGGCGTGTAGCTTGCCAGGCGCACAACTTGTGCGTCCCGTCACTTGATATTATAAAAAAGTACATATTTTGGGTATACGACTGTATAAAACAAACACTGGCTGCACTTATAGAACCTGTTGAAACTCGCGGCCTTTGTTAAAACTCGTGGTTATCAACTGCTAGAGGGGTGAGTACGGTACTAGTTACTATAATACATATCGTTAACGTTTTACTGTATAATTTGCTTACTTACTTGCTGTACTTTAATTTCTTATATTTACAAGTCAATGAAAATGAATACATATAGACACTTCGTCAATAGACGGAACCTTTCAGTTTAATATCTCCTCGCACCTGTTTCGTGTCAAGTTGTCCGGAAACGCGTCGACAGCGGTGGCGCATATATTATTCTGTCAAGTTGACAGCTTGACTGAAGTAATGTCAGGTAGTTGGGTTAGGAATAGACGATTGTTTGATCGCGATTATGAGGCGAAAATTTCTAAAGTACTGGGAGAAGACAGATAGTCAAACTAGTTTATGATATTGGTAAATTGGTGATTTAAAAGAAAAACCGTCCTCGAAAGGTTGTAGAATTACGTCTAAGCCAAGTTTTATTGAAATTGATTAACGGAAAGTGAGTGAATTCCAATAAACCGGATTCATCCCCTATTTTACTGCGGTCCCCTTTTTCCAGTAAAAAAAGAAACATTGAAATCGGTTCACGAATATCGAAGTAATGGCGTAACATGCACCACGAAAAAAAATGCGATCGAATTAAGACGGAGGGTCTCCTTTTTTTGAAGTTGGTTAAAAAAGGCTAGTTTAGGTTTGAGGATATGATCTGAAATGTTATATTGTATCGGGATGTAAGTTTAAAGTAATGTGTCAGTAAAAAGGGTCTAACCATTGACTTACAATTATATGGACGTCGGGTCCGCGCTAAAAAGTGTCCGAACTTATAGGGCGTTAAAATCGTATACAGAGCGTCATTCACGCTTTAGTCTTCGTTTGTTCGACTGACAGCGAAGCAAGCAAAATTAGACAGTACTGCGATGACATTACAATTTAAATTCAACGTTTTAGCTTTTTCATATTCCTTTACATGTCACTACGTTTAAATAGGTTGACTTGGGACATTTTTTTCGTGGTTTTTGTATTAGACCCGTCGTCCATTTATTTGTAAGTCAATGGGTCTAACTCAAAATTAAGACGCAGTTTATTAATTAGTATATTAATGACGTTATGCAGATTGAGAATGCCTCAGCATTAATATAATAACCTATGTTATTATTCTTTTTATTAAAAAAATATTGCATCTCGCTCGATGGAAAATGACGATAAGGCCGACATAACCCCTATTCACTCGTCGTCTTGAAAAGGGCCAAGTTATACCGTTCAGGGAACAAGTCGGCAAGCAGGGAATATCACTCGTGGAAACGAAACACTTCGTGAGAAGCCTTGAAATAAGCACAACATAGGGGTGGAACCACAGCCTACGGCTAGCTAGCTACGGCTAGTCCCACGATGATGGAAAGGGGAGAGCGGAGCAAATTCTGATACATCAAATTTTGGTCCCCTGTACCTCACGACTGTGAAGAGAAATAATTGCGTAAATCTAGAGAAAACTTACAGCGCTGTTGATGTTCCTTAATTTCACTTCAATGTTCAGTCTCTTATTCGTGTAACTTCAAAGCCCATCTGAAGTTTCGATGTAATATCAAACTCTTATATTTTGGATCCCCATCCTTGACTACAAAACTTGAAACGAGATTGCGGAAGTGTTCGGGATTTTACGTTTTCTGGTGAACTTCAAACCGGCGTTTAAGTTATACGATTAGATGCGAGTACTAACCTTAAGATTTCCATGATAAAAAGAATTAAAAACTTTTCATCATCTAACACTAAACTCTTGGAAGCGCACCGTAAACTTGTGCTCGAAAAACACTCGCGATTTAAAAAAATGAACGCTTCCTAAACATCAAAATTAGGTCCATTTAGTGTCAATTAATCGTAATTGAGTGCTTTATGGTGTACGTACGGTATTAGTTACTTTTGATCTCTTTCTGATACTTTGATAGCACCTGGCCGGCGGGCGGGCGCTTAAGCACTGCCTGTTACATAACGTGGAAGCTGGAGATTAAAGTACAGTTAGGAGACCTCGGCGCGAACGATGATCTCGCGTTCGCGTGCTTGTTTTGCAGCAATGAACTTTTGGACGCTTTTACACCGTGGTGTGTGACATTGAAAAGTTGCTTCTTTTTTATTGTACCTACCTCTATGTTGTAAATATTCCACTAGTTTGTTATTATTATTGACTCAAAGATAAATCCCTTCGATCTGAGTGAACTTCAACCACCGTCTGTTGCCATACCAGGGTTTCCGCTCTTATCAATTGAGTTATCAGATCAGGTCAGTAGATCTTAACGATTTCTCTATGCGCTTGTTGCAGACATTTGTACTGGGTTAAAACAGCTGTTTTGCCGTCAGCGCCACCTGTTAGAGACAGTCACGTTTCATTGCTTCTTACGAAAACCGACATTTGTTTAGTCTTTATTTATTTTTTGGTTTTGTATCTACCACTGGTCGTCCCAGTGGTAGATACAATAAATCTTAGGAATTTTATAAAGTTTTTTTATAGGTGCCACAATATGCAAAGAAAACACAAAAAGAAAGTGTAAGCAATGGCAGGGGGTAGAAGAAAAATAATAATAATATTAAATCAAGAAAAATAAACATTATAAGTTACGTCCAAATGGATTCTTTCGTATTTTGGATTTAATTTCCTCTTTTTAAAACAAATTATGAGAACTGAGCCTTCTGCATTCTCGTCGTGCATGCTTCAGCAGAACGGAAACTAGAAACTGTAGAAGAAATAAAATATTCTCTCTAAGTTTGGTGTTCTGAACGGTTTGAGAGACGTCTAATCGCTCATGGAATAAATCGTTATGGACCGGACATGGAGCATTTTGACGCCTCGGTTAAAGACCTCTACAAAAACATTGAGAAAAACCAGCGGCAAGGGCTAGGCGTAGATATCATACGGGTTCTGTATTTCTGGTAGTGTAGATTGAAGAATGCTCGCCAAGTATAAGAACGAGCATGGTTACACGAGCTGCATTTAGACTGCATTGTAATTGCAAAATTGTTATTAACATGCAGTTGTAAAACTGAGATGCTGTTGGTGCGACTGCAAGCGGGCTGTGTGACAGCTATAAAATTATTATTACAATACAGAAATCTAAATAAATCCATAGAAATGTAAATTAATCTATTTATTTAGATTTCTGTGGATTATACCGTCGGATGTTCGGGGTTCTTGTACGTAAAGTTTACTTTTGTTAACGCTCTTTTGTATATCTGTAAATAAATGAACTAAGAATTCAAAATATGTACTTAAAAAATAATTTATTTGTAGTAACAACGGACCATAATATACATTACATATTTAACCGAATCAATGTATAAAATTCAAATAAAATGTATAAAATTCTATTAAAATAAAAAAAAATCACAATAAAATAAAATCAATAAAATATAAAAAGAAATAAAAAATTGAATAAAACTAAAGGATCGTCTATGCGAGTTCAGAATAAAAGTAAAAATAATTTATTCCACAGATAAATTTACATTTGAAAATGACATTTTTTAAGCTATTGCTCGTTCACTGTGTTTACTTACCTGAGAAGACCGAGCAAGAAACTCTAGGGATTGCTCTGCACTTTGAATGAAATTTATGTGGAATCTAGAACCATGTCGTCTTTCCATACACCTTTATCTAACACGTAGTCTTCAATTTTGTAATAATATGACTTTTCAATTAAAATACTTTTAATGTAAGTGTTAAACGTAGGCAATGATAATCTTACTATTATGCTCTGGAAACTTATTCTAATTACGTATACCAGTTACCCATAAAATAATCGTTTACCTTACTTAAACGAAATCATGGTACCACGAGTTTAGAATTTGATATAAGACTGACTAAAACGCACAAAAACTAACGTGTTTAGTTTCGACAACATGCCGCACGCGGATCCCTAAAGCTGCGCAGAGGCAATTTCGAATTTGTCATTTTGTCTTGAAGCACCGTTTGTAACATAATCGCTCGAAATTGTCAGATGTTGTGACAACGATCTTTCGTTTCGAGTCTTAATACGACGATGGACGGTGACTCTTCAATTGCTATGTGAAAAAAGATTTTAAATTGATATCTAACCATCATCTTCATCAACATTACTGAGTTTCGGTTTTAAAGGTGGTGATGAAATTACAAACACATGAGACTTGGTAACTTATGTCTCAGGGTGACGAGCGCAGATCTTTGCGATTTAAAATACTGAGTGGCACTGTAACTGTCAAGTACAAGCGTGTCGCTTACGACCAGGCGCACGCCCTATTCGTCCCGTCACATGGTGTCATAAAAAACAGTGACGGGACGAACAAGTCGTTATTGTTATTGCAAAATACATTCGAAAGTTGACGTTGGCTCAACGTAATGGTTTAGTCATGCAAATAGGAAACGCCATCAACATTGGCACTTTTTGTCGATCTGTCAATCTGGTGTCTTAATGTCATCCTTCTTGGAATCTGAAACCTTTCTTATGATTATTAAGTGACGGAATGAACAAGTCGTGGGCCGTAAGCAATCGCCTGTCTATAACAGTTGCCATGGTGTTCAAAACTTTCAATAGCAAAGATTTCAATAGCAAAGATGCCACGATTGCCATGTTCAAGAGAAATTTTAAATTGTATTTAATGGATAATCAAAAGAGGTACGACGAGTGGGGTATTTTTTAAGTGAAGTGTTTTTCTTGATTTGTTTTATTATTGTTTTTAATTTTCATTTTATTTCATTTTTTTATGTTGATTTTTGTCTGTTTTTTGTGTAGTTTATTTAGGCCAGCATATGTTATGTTATATTATTTTATAGTGTATATTTTTTTTATATGTGGTAAGAGTTGTCATTTTTTAATGATTGTTTGTTTATTGTGATGTTTAAAAACCTATATATTTTATATTATGTTAGTTGATGTATGTATATGTATATCCTGTTGTTAAAGTGTATGTTCGTTGTAGTGGTGTCCTTTCTGTTGTGGTGGCCACAGAATATCAGCGCCGGTCTGTTTCTCCGTGAGCAAACTGGCACATGCTGAGTGGTGACCTTTTTGGTTCCTTATTTTTGTAGTTGTAAAGTAGTTATTGTTAATGTAATGTGGACCAAATAAATATATTTTCTTTCTTTCAAAGATTTGAAGGTCACTGACACTACACCCGTCACCCTGAGACATAAGTTGACATGTCCCATGTGCCTATAATTCACCAGCACCTTTGCTTTTCAAAACAGGCACACAGTAATGCTCTCATTACTGCTTGGCGGCAGAAATAACTGAGCGAACCTTTTACAAGGAGCTTTACTGGTACTTATATCCACCATAGACGTCCCAAGGCGCAATTACGTCACAGCCTATGTTGGACATCAACTGGCTACGTGACGTGGCGATAAATTACTGTTGCATGTTGTGACCGTAGCCTTATTTTGGTACTAGCGTGTTCCTTGGCTTAATTACATAACATTATTGGGTGGTACTTGTCCCACTATTGGGAAAGGATATCATGTATTTAATAGGATATTGAAGTTACTTCACTAGCTTGTTATAACTAGAAAAAGTTCCTTCGATCTAGTTGGATTCGAAACAACGTCTTCTAGCAAACCGTGCCAGATGTTATGCCAGCTAAGACACGGCACAAAATAGCGGACCTTACGAATGCTTCTATATCTTCGAGTATATAACCAGAAATAGAGACGAAATAAGGGTCATGCATTCCTGGTAACTCATCAGTGATACATCACTTATAAATATCAACTCTCGTTTGTACTGAAATATAGGCAGCGCCAACAACTGACCAGTGTGTACGTCTACGTATATTCAAAAAATATTCTGTATTTTTTGTATTAAAGATAATATCTCTAACAATGGCGTGCTGTTCCATTCGGTGGTGTGGGGAAAAAAAACATCTCAAACAAAATCAAAACAAACAGAATCAAATTTCATCGGTAATTAAATATTAAATATGTAATTTTGCAATTTTCGTCCATTACAGCAAAGCTCAAGTTAACCGGGCGATTTGAAGTGAAAAAATTGACGACACCCGTCAATTGTTTCGAATTCGGGCTAGTCAATCGGAGCGCTGTTGTCACGGTAATGGTATGGCAAAATAGTTTTCAAACGAATTAAATGACATTTCGTCTCTATTTGTGGTTATATACTCGATGTTCTATGTGCTTGTTGCAGATCTTTGTTTTTGGTTTTTTAACGACTATTTTACCGTAGCGCCATCTGTCAAAAATGTATTTCTTCAGTCAGCCAGGTACTTTAAATTATTGTCACTTCAATGTCGATTTGTAATTGATATTTTAAATACTTCATGGGGTCCGGTTAGTGGCAACATTGCATAGGGTCCGTGCGGTGTCAAAGCATAAATGAAAAATGTTTAAAAATATAAATACAGATTTTAATCACTTATATATAGTCCATGTTGATAAGTTTCGTAAAAACTCTTGTCGTAATTTATAAATTACAATTTTGAAAATGTATCGCCTGTTTTTTTAGAACAACCACAGATAATTATAAAACTTCAAAAAAAAGAAAGTTTTTTTTGTTTAAAGTTAGCTAGTGTCAAAAACCACACGGACCATCATTGACTTACAAATAAATGGACGACGGGTCTAATACAAAAACCACGAAAAAAATGTCCCAAGTCAACCTATTTAAACGTAGTGACATGTAAAGGAATACGAAAAAGCTAAAACGTTGAATTTAAATTGTAATGTCATCGCAGTACTGTCTAATTTTGCTTGCTTCGCTGTCAGTCGAACAAACGAAGACCAAAGCGTGAATGACGCTCTGTATACGATTTTAACGCCCTATAAGTTCGGACACTTTTTAGCGCGGACCCGACGTCCATATAATTGTAAGTCAATGCGGACCATCCATTATTTCTTAGAATAATAACGCACATTAGCTTGTATTTTAAATGTGTGGTCAAAATACCGCATTTTGTATATTATATTTCATGTTGCTTCTCATGATAGTAGTGTATATTAAATACAAAGTATTTTGCGCAGCCTGACTATGGAAGGGATCCATATTCATTTGTGTTGTGTTTTATATTGTGTTGCATTTTAAATAAATATACTATCTACAATTTTTTTTAGTACAAAGTTAATATTTAGACAAACTATTAGTACAAGGTTTAAATTAAGTTATAATAAAAAACATATTTGATTTTGTGTAAACAGTTTTATTTAAAATAAAAAGTACAAAAATATTTTTGATCCTAAAACACTGGCTCGTTTCAAAACCCGAATTTTTAAAATCTAAATTGTAAATTTAAATTACGTCTAATTTAACTCTAATTGAGTATTTATTAGTATAGTTATATGGATTTATAGAAATAAAGTAAATAATTTCGTGTCAATACATTGGACCCCGTATAGGCATAATGTAAGAAAATCGGCACAAATGTATGCCAGAACTATAATTATAGTATTCAGATATAACGAGTACATATACCTAGCTATGTAATAATTACAACAGATCACAGGCTATGATTAATTATAATAAAATGTTATAAAACAAAACAAAAATAAACTCAAAACCATTCACGACGTGCATCAAGAAACCAGATTAAAAATGCTTATTTTAAAGCAAATATAGATTATATTTTTGTGACATAAAAATTAGATAATAGAATAAAAGGTTAGTATATATAATATAATAACATTAATTTAATGTATTTTACAACAAAATATCTAAGTATGTACTTCATGAAGTCTACCTAACAGTAAAACACTAGGTAAAATACGTTATGCAAGTTATTTTTAACATTATTCTGTCTTCCGAGATCACTCCTTCGGCTTCCATAAATTTCTTATCACATTTTCGTTGTCTGCAACAAAGTAAACAAAACGGAATTAAGGTTAAAAGAAATTATTATGAAAAATCTTTATTTTAATCGATAAAGTAATTATTAAACTTAATAATTTTTAAAAAAGCATTCTGATATTTCGAGTAAATTCAAATGTTCATACTGCCATCTATCCAATTGCTATGGCACTAAGTTGTACTGTAGTTAACTAAAAACGTATAGAACGCCACCTCTGAAATTATTTACAAACTACGTAGCACGCTGACTGGCTAACAGTTGAATAACGCGAACGGTACTGGCGTAGACAGGTAGTAGTAATTATACCTGTCGCTAGTTGGAGCTAGTGCGTCCGTCGCACCTCCCGTTCGGCCTTCTCCTGGCGCTTGTAGCTGAGGTCATTGATCGTCGTAACGCTGCCGAAGAGGACTTTCGCCGTCACTTGCTGCGGGCAAAACGTTTCATGTTTGTATCAATGCGTGTGCAACAATTGGGGCATGTTGTTGTTTGAAAATAGAATGTTTAGAAAAATAGAAGAATCTAGAAAATGTTTCTTTTTTCAATTTACAAGATAACCGTTAGAACTCATTTAGCTTTTATTATTTATACTTGTATCGGTATCTAATTAAGTCAAACAGAGTTCTTAAAATGATAGGGGATAGGTTGGATTCTGTTTTGATTGCTAGGTTCACCGAACTTCACATCCTGGAAGCTTGGTGATCTTAGCAAGTATCATGTAGTCATCTGGCCTTTCATTAATTGTATTTTCGTTTCATTTATTTTATTACCTATAATTTTATACTAACAATAGAATAAGATTAATTTGTAAATGTTTACTAAGAAAATGGACTGTAAATTGTACATATATTATAAACCTAATTTAATTTCAATTTAATGAATTTTCTGTGTTTAAGACTTTTCATATTCCTTTCGACTCTGTATTATCTACATTTTGATTGTGTAAGGAATGTTGGCTGTTAAACTGTAATCATAAAGCGTGAAACCTTTCTGAAATATCTGAAGAAGAATAAAAAGCCGTACTGTGGTAAGAATTATTGAAACAGACGATGCAACAATAGCAATCCACATTTTCCGACGAGAATATTGTTTTAATTTGATGTACTTTGGTATCATTATTTAAAATACAGTAATGTTTAATTACAAGTAGCAGAAACAAGCGTGCAAATTATTTTGAAACATTATTGTCGATGCGAGAAGGCAATTCGCCATTTGAACAACCGCCTCAATTAGGTAGGTCGTTATCATTTACGGCTTGCCCCGACGCTTTACGCACTACCCTGTTTGGTTGGTTACACAACTGCGTTTAATTGTGTACCTACTGTGTATTTAATCATTTATAAATTTAAGATATGAATATTATATACATTTGGCACGGAACATGGTTTTTTTTCCTAACGCGTTCGGTCTGCTGTTTTTTTATATTTCTACAAGTTGACAAGTCTCATCTGCCTGTAGTTTCACTCAGTAATTTAGTCGCCAAGAATAGAATATACACTGCAAGACGTATTTAGCAGAACGCTAAGAGCTTACGTATGTACATGGCGTATTTTATACGTACGATTATTTTATACCGACGACGCGCATATGACGCGCTTATAACGCGATGCAGTCGCAGCGAGTAAACCCTTGCACACGTTCACAAATTCAATGGGGCAGTAAACGCGTGTCATCGTTGTAGTCGCGCGTCATCGCTGTGGTCGTGGCAATGTATTGCGCATTTTGATAAGAAATAGTTCTTTTGTTTATTAATTTCAGTTAGTTCTTGAAATGTAGCAACTACATGAAATTCTAAGGGTCGTATTCTAGAACTGAACTCAATGCTCAAGTCAGGATTTGAGTATGGTTTAAAGCACTTGATATCATACTCAAGTCCCTGCCATTAGGGTCGTATTTCCAGTGCTTGTGTTGCCAGTGCAATCCTGACTTGAGCATTGAGTAGAGTTCTAGAATACGACCCTAAGTGTAAACTCCAGTGGAGTATATAAGCTTCTTACTTGCAATGCGATGTTTACACGCGTTTGAATCTATTCAACTCGATACAAATGCAACAATATGCTTTTTAAGCTTCTACGTCGGCTCTAAAAAAATTTAATTATGACAATAACGTTCATTGTAAACCATTAGCCACATATACCAGAACGTTTAATCGAACTCTAAGAACGATTGACGTCAATCTTTTTTCAAAATACACGTTCTTGTATTTGTGGCCAGCGGTTCATATGGACGTTGTTGTCATTATTCAACCTTTTGTAGCGTTCCTCTAAATATGTCCAATATTAACTTTATTCATAAAACATTCGTAAAGTCATACATATAAGACCTGTGCAATATTTTTATACGAGTACATTACATAAATGGGGAAACGAGTATGGCCCAATAAATTGTCACGAATCATTTTATAGAAACAAATGGCACTTGGACTACAGGAACTAAGAGTGGTTTATGCATGCCACTTTTAGCAGCGATACAAACGCGCGTTCATGAAACGCGCGATTGCATCGCTACAGCTCAGAATTATAGGCGATTGCATCGATGCAAACGCGCGACTGCATCGATGCAATCGCCTATAAATCCCAAGTATAGTAATGCAATCGCGCATCTGTATCGATGGTGTCGTGTTTGCATCGCGTTTGCATCGCTGCTCTTAAAGGTTCTCTGAGGACACGAATAAGTAGTCCGAGACGAAAGCCGGTTCTTCAAATTTGGTATCCTAATTCCTAATGTTGTAACTCAAAATTTGCTCGTACAGATGGCTCAATTTACTGGTCTCTTTGATGTTGTATATGAACGTATCGAAAGAGGAATGGAAAATGTTACAAGACGATTGCATTGACAGTGATTAAAATTTTCACCGAGCTGCGCGCCAGTGTCTGATCGTAGCCGCCCATTGCTCCACATTCATAATTACAATATTACGAAGTCCCAAGGCCTGTGTATATTTAAAAGAATAATTAGGGACTTCAGAAACGATGTTATAATACCAAGAGATGGCTGCGAAGGCCCAAATCTTGATAGTGCAGGTGAAGATAGCAAAGGACTTCGCGTAAAACTGTGCTATAACTCTCCGAAGACCCTTGTCTCAAGTGTAATTTGTAATGATAATATAGGACTTTGTGATATTATGCAATTTTCGTATAGGAACTTGTTTTTAAAAAGGAAGGACAAGAATTGGTGCAATTATCGATCGTGTTCTTCGACATTATGAAGGCAGTAATTTTATTTATTAGACAATAAGTTAAAAAATATAATAACAGATAAGGTGCAATAAAAGTTTAAATACTAGAAACTAATAGTAGGATTTAATTATAGGAATAAAATTGAGTCCCCGCGGCAAGGTGCCCAAGATGTTGGCAGCGTTCCCTCTTTGTATAGCTATGCTTTTCAGTAGTAGTATATCTCCTTGTGAAAGAGTTCGTGCAGGGAAGTACTGCCTTACCTATTTCTGCCGGCAAGCAGTAACTCCAGCGTTACTGTTTGTGTACATGTTTTGAAGGGTTAAGGTGCTGGTGAAATTACAGGCACATGGGACTTGTCAACTTATGTCGCAGGGTGACGGGCCCAGTGGCAGTCCCCCTCAGATCTTCACGATTTAAAGCTCTTGAGTGGCACTGTACAGACAAAGGACACCTGTTCCCACAGTCCAAGGACATCGACTCCAAAGGCTGTAAATAGGTAGTCGGAGCCGAGGTTCTGGTACTTATTACTCTTTATTTTTTCCGCCAGCTCATCTGCGGAACCAGCCCTCTTGCTGGTGTGTGTGGTGGTGTCGGCACACGTGGCTCCCACACCAGTGCCCGGCCCATACTCTAAGGAAGGAAGGCATTCCGTTTGAGTATTTGCGTTTTTTTTAAATATCAAGTGACGGGACTAACAAGTCGTGGGCTTGGTGGTAAGCTACACGCCTGTAACAGTTGCAGTGCCACTCGGAGCTTTAAATCGCAAAGATCTGGGGGGCACTGCCATTGCGCCCGTCACCCGAGACATAAGTTGACAAGTCCCATGTGCAGTAATTTCACCAGCACCCTTACCCTTTTATGCCGGACTGCTGCGTTTGGACAGCGGGCCCGTTGATCGTGGATGTCGTTGAGGGCTGCATGCCGGGAGATGCGGCTAGCGTTCAGTTGGCAGGAAAAACCGTGGTATGACCGTATGAAGAAAGTTAATATTGCTTTTGAGTAGATTTTCGGTAACTAAAGTTAAAACAGCGACATCATTCATCGAACAGTATTCATCGAGATGATCAATGATCACATCATTTGACTAGACTAGTTGCAGCAAAGAATTGTAAAAAGTTATTTTTCATTGGTGTGTTGGGTTAATTTTAATGTGTTCACGCAAACGTAGGCAGCGTGTTAGGGGAATTTGTTTTTTTTTTATGGCCCAGGAAACCCTGTATCGCGGGTGCAATGGACACACACGTAGACAACTTCAAATTACATTCAAACTTACGAGAGAAATAAGTGTAGGCCCTACAAATATTTCTCTCGACCCGGGAATCGAGTCTGGGACCTCTGCATGGCAGAATAGCATGGTAACCGTTCGGCCACGGTTGAACATTGCAAGGGTACATGATCCAATATACAGGTGAAAAAAAATCAATGGGACATTATGGGATACTTCCCATGGGATACTTCTCATAATGTCCCAATGATTTTCCCTTAATGCTTAAGATTTTTTTCCAATTTTATTTAAAGGAAACATTATTTTACTTTTCTTAATGTGAATATCAGCATTCACAGACTTTTTGAAAAGCTTACCATAAAAATGCAAAAAGGAAATTCTCAGATGACGGGCGCACTGAAAGTGCTTCTCGGATCTTTGCGATTTAAAGCTCTGAGTGACACTGCAATTGTTACGAACAGGCGTGTCGCTTACAACCAGGACCACGACTTGCTCGTCCCGTCACTTGGTGTCATAAAAAAAATCACGTACCATACAAAAATACACAAAAAATATATTACAATAATGTTGTAAGTTAAATAAATTTATTTTGATGTTTACAAATTCTACGGGAATTACAGTTAAGTAATACGAATTTTGAAAGATAAAGGAATAAAACCTGACTTTGATTAATACGGTTAATGGAAATCTGTAGTTAATTAAACTCTTCTCAGGGGGTCTACTCTCGGTCTCCGTCTGACATCCGTCCGAAACGATTACTGTCAAATAAGCAATACTTGAACAAATGAAAAGACGCGTGATGCGAATGAAGCTTCATACTGGATACTTGTCTTTTAATTTTGTCGAATATTACTTATTTGACAGTAATTGTTTCGGACGGATGTCGGAAGAGTGAATGTCAATTTACGTACTCGTGATTTTGTATTTGATTAAATAATATAACGATGACATTTCTGTATCTATTTGCATTTCGTCTTTGACTTTATCTGCACAATGATGATTTCATGAAGATCACAAAGAACA